CATCTGGTATTTCATCCTCTCACTCAACACAACAAAAAATGAAACCTTAGCATAGGCTGTTTTTCCAGAGAAATCTTCTAAATCCACTCTAAGCTCCACATCCTTGTGGTTTGTTAAGGCAAATATTTTATTGTTTCCTTTAATATAAATTGATACTGAATGTTATTGTGAAACACAAATAATTTCACAAGTGATGATATTTTAATGATACAAAAGGAATAAATTAACAATAATATTCATAAGATAAACGGACCAATTAAAATATAGACATGATGAATTACCTTAATAAGTGGATAAAGTCTAGAAAACAAATCATCATGAACTACTGGAAACATAGAATACCAATAATAACTGTTCTATTTCACTGGTTTCATTAGAATAGTTTATACAAAATAAACGGAGGATAATCCCACTATTAAAAACGTTATTCAACATAAGCAAATATAGTATTGCTTTCTACAAAACTCAAGTTAGTTTAACTTATAAAAAAGAAGTTTGTGCATGTCATTATATCTCCACATTTACACATTCTTTGTTGTAAGAAGAATACTCACCGAGCCAAAAATCTTCGCTCAGCGATCCAAATCCAATACTGTATTGGTACCACGATCGATTGAAAACCTGGGGGTTTTCTTTGTAGTATCCGCGACGTTGGATTATCTCCAGTAAAGAAAATTTAATTTGATTGAAATTTAGCTTTTTAGTCGTTCTTATATATAATTATATAGTTAAATATATTAAATATAAGTACAATATATATATATATATATGTATAGTTACTATAACATATTCTTCAATCCAATGAAACTAATTATTTTCCCACTACTAATTTAAAAAAGGGCTATACTTATAAAATATTATCACTTGTCACTTACATCTGCATTCTAAGTTTCCCCAAAAAAATATTCCTCTTCATAGTTAAAATTTCTAGTAACTACTTTATTATCTGTAGACGTGAATAAAATATGAACATAAGTTTAACATTTATGTGATTTCTACGAAGTTTACAAATATAGAACACACTCCTACCGTCCATCCACCACCTTCGGTATCCATGTCACATACAACCTCAATTGGTTCGTTTAAGAACCGTGGCCAGATAGAGTAGATCCGGTTACTTTCAACATAGCCTCTCAACCTCAGATCTGCACAGTCTGTAAACATTGTTGTGTTGACACATGGCTTGTTTTCAGGTGTCTGAAGTGTTCCTTTAAATTATATCAATAGCCGAGTTTAAAACATGTTCCCCTTTTGTTTTATCTGTTCTTTATCTATATAATATATCTTTTTTTAAATTTTGTTCATGAATTACACCGTACTAATTATTTTTCAATAATCGTTCTTTAAGTGGGGAATTTCCTCTGTTTTAATGTTCGTATTTACAAGTAGAAACTTAATTATTGATAACTTCCTTTGTACATATATGACATGAATGATGTCAGAATACATATTTGTTTAACTTAGAAGAAAAGAGAATAATAAATATTCTTTAACCCAAGAAAACTCACCTTTCAACTTTTCTTTAGCCAGATTTATCATTCCCCACACAGTCGTAGGTAAAGCATCCAAGATGTCATTTAAGTCATACCGGGAAACGTCAGACTTTTCGCCAGCCACGGAGACGGAAAGTAAAATTCCGATTAACCCTAAACACATAATTTGGAACAAAATGTTTCTATCTCTTGAGGTTTTCATAGTTTTCTGATCAGTTGAACGGTTTCTGAAGTGAACTAGCTTGATGATACGGGTAAGTCGATGAATGCCGTTTAAATCACACTTATATAGAGGGGATATTATTGAAATATCGCTAATTTTAAACAGGGTTCTGAAAATTATTATTATTTTTTAACGACCGTCTTGGTAAACAGTTTGCCGAAAAAGTACTTACGACGAAACTAATTTTATGTGATGTATTCAAAACGTTTATTCTTAGAGTTCCGTTAACTGTTTTTCAAATGGAATATTCTGTGAGAGTTAAAAATAGGTTATATTGGAAGTCACATTAACACTATAACACCAACTCTAAAAATAATTCTCACGATGTGATACCTATTAAGATTAGTACATAATGATAAAAACCCTATAACCCGAACACTTTCGAAAGATGGACCTTTTTTCTTTAGGTGCAAACTAAAGAAGTTTATGGGTTTTTTATCATTCTGTATCAGTACTTCTTGAACCTCCGTGTTTTTGATTGGTAAATACTATATTACTGATAGAAAATGTGTTTTTATTTTATTTGTTATGAAACAGAACAATTTATCTTATCATTTAATGAAGTGTTCTGTTTTCTATTTACGTACAGATTTTTATTTTTAATTTTGAAATTAACATTCCTTACATTCCTGTGAATGGAAATTTGTGAACTGATATTTTTGTTGTTTAAATACTTTTAAGATTACGTGGGTTATAATATTGTTTTATAACATAAAGCATTATGTTAGATATTACAAACAATTAAATAATTTAATCATATAAACCACGTTTCTCAACCCTCGGCTGTATTTTTAACGGTTATCGTGTGTCAAGTATAATGGTTTAAGAATAAAATAGTCGTTACTTTATAAACATAATGTTAATGTAACATGAAAGTAATATACAATGTTGAAGTAGCCTGTAGAATAATTAGGTTTTAAAGTGAAATGTTAGAATTCAAACTTGGAAAATCTGTTGTTGCTGTTTCCAGATTGTTTCGAGTGCTGGTACAAGTTTTACCATTAGATGTCTTGAAGTTCATCTTAAGAGAAGGCAGAGCGTAATATAAAAATAAAGGCTAACAGTATGGATTTATGAAAAAGACAAACGTGAAAATTATTATAAACAGTAGACATGATAATTTCCATGATTTAACAAAGTAATATTGAAAGGTGAGGACTATAATTAATAACATGCATACAGTAGAACAATAAATCTAGAAATAATTATGAAATAGTAACGGGGCTATTATCCTATATAAAACCTCAATGTTTGTTTTCATGTCATGAACGAGGTATAAGAATTAAAATTTGGTTTATTTTTTTATGTTAAGTTTTTTAAGATTAAATGTTTTGATTTTCTCTTTCGATATAAAAAGGGTTTGTTCCAAGTGGATTGTTTATGGTTAACCGGAATTTTATTTTCAGGCTTCGTGATAGGAGAAAAGTATGACGTTTCACGACATGATTTGAAGGACATTTTGGATGTTTTACTTACCACAGTGTGGGGAATTCTGATTCTGGCTAAAGAAAAGCTGAAAGGTCAGTTTTAGTGGGTTTTAGTTTTAGTATAAGAATTAAAATTTGGTTTATTTTTTTATGTTAAGTTTTTTAAGATTAAATGTTTTGATTTTCTCTTTCGATACAAACAGGAAATTTTAGATATAAGAATATCAATACTGTTTTAAGTAAGACTGTATGTATAAAACAAAAACACAAAAGCTACATTTTGAACTTTTTGTCATTGTTATTGTTAAAAGTAGCTTATATTGTATGTTCTTCTTACCACAGTGTGGGGAATTCTGATTCTGGCTAAAGAAAAGCTGAAAGGTCAGTTTTAGTGTGTTAAGAAACGTTTATATTTCTCTATTTTGTCCAAAAACTCAAAACAGTTATTGGTATTTGACAAACTATCATTTGTAAAAAATTATGCAGGGACAGTACAGATGTTTTACATTGTTTAAGAGGTAAAGACTAAGAAGTTTCTTCCAAAATCAAAGACACATGCTGCTTGATTTATCACTAAAATGATCAGACGACTTTATTCTATTAATATATACAGGTCTCTGTGAGAGGCATTAATAAAATTAATTGATTAACAAACATAAAGACTGAGATAATATATCTAGACCCAACCAAACTGAATTTAGTTATTGTAACAAATGTCTAAATGTTATGATGATCACTGATTAATTGTTAATAGAATGGAAATCCCACAAATACGTATTAAGTTTATTAAGTAAAAAATTAGTCATTGTTCTTTTTAAGGAACAATTAATTGATATAACATTAGTATTAATTAGTCTCAAAAAAGTGACATCGCACATAAAATTATTTAAAATAAAACAGTTTTAAGTATGGATATTGATGAAATTTAAAGGAACTCTTCTGCTACCCGAAAGCAAGAGATGCGACAATGCCATAAAGTTCACATACTGGGTAGATTTGAGACTTAGAGAGTAATCAAGTGTACTCTACCTGGCCACGGTTCTTCAACGAACCAATTAAGGTTGTATGTGTATGATTTTTTTTAAATTTTCATAAATAATTATATTCCTCGGCATGTTAACAAAATCTTACAATGACAAATGATAAAGAAAACGAATACCAAACAAGCTTTATGAGGAAAAATCCTGGAACTTTCAGGAGTTATTAGGAGTAAAATATCTTAGTGACGTGCACAAGAGATGGCTGCCTTCCTGACCTTATGCTCCAAAAGTCCCTTTTTTCTTAGTAATAAATATTGTCACTATGAAAAGACACATCGGATTCCAGATTTTGTTCAATACGAGTTACTATAAAAAAAATTATATTCAGTATTAAAATGAATGGAACGCAGGGACATGTAAAATTTATAGTAAAAATAATAATATTGATATGTGTTAACTGTCAATATGCAATAATTCACTGTTTATTTTTAGATGGTAATAATATTTATAAGACTAATTAAATAGAAGAGTATCAGTTTGATTCTATGTTTTTTATTATGTGTACTATAGAAAACCAACAGTAACCTTTAAATTTACCTTTAGGTAAATATTTTGCTTGTAGAATACTTTTAAATGTTAAATTTCCAATCTTTTGTATGCACTACAACAGGTGATTCACTATTGTACCGGCCTGCATGGCCAGGTGGTTAGGGCGCTCCACTCGCAATCTGAGGGTCGCGGTTTTGTATCCCCGTCACACCAAACATGTTCGCCCTTTCAGCCGTGGGGGCGTTATTATGTGACGATCAATCCCACTATTCGTTGGTAAAAGAGTAGCCTAAGAGTTGGCGGTGGGCGGTGATGACTAGCTGCCTTCCCTCTAGTCTTACACTGCTAAATTAGGTACGGCTAGCGGAGATAGCCCTCGTGTAGCTTTGCGCGAAATCCGTAACAAAACAAAAAACAAACA